CGCGCGTCCGTGCACGAGTGCTTACGCGCGTGCTCGGTGTGTGCCGGGCGTCTCCGCTATCCGGGTCTGGGGCGGCACGGGTCTCCTGCCCCTCCGCCTTCTGCCCTGCCCGCAGCTGCTGCTTCGCCCGAGTGTCGTGGGTGGCCCTGACGTTGTCTGTTATGTGTTTGGCCAAGTGTTGTTGCAGAGCGCTGGAGAGATGGCTTGTTTGTTCTCTGTTTTGCCGCCTCTGTCCGTAGTGCAACAAGGGGTCAACAGAAGGAGGCCGATGGTGCGGAGGCGGGAAACACACGGGGAGGGGGAGGAAGCAGGTTTGTGGTTTAATTCGTTCGTTCGCAGTTTTGCCGCCGCCAGTTCGCCAATCAGAGTGTCGAGTGCTTGATTTGGCCTCTTAGCAGTTTCGGCGTTTGCTGCTACACGGATATATTCTCCCTCGCTCATTGTCCATTATATTTTGTTATCCCTGCAGCGGTTTTACTATGCAGTTTAGACTTTCTAGAAGGCCTGATCGACGCGGGCTGAACATTCTGTTCGCGTCGGCACCGTTATCAAGTGTCATTGGCATTGCTGCCCATGCTCCAACGCCTTGGCCCGCAGCGCGATCGTACTTGGAGGAAGCCTGACCGAGTTCGGGGAAATGGACGATTTGCTTGCAACAACGAGCCAAGAGCGCGGTGGTTCCGTTGGCTTCCTGTGCAGGATGAATGGTTCGGCCCGCATGGGTACCCTTGACGTGCCTTGATCACCAAAGTCAGCAGGACCTCAACATGCGCATGGAATCTTGGAGAAGTATTCGGGAAACGCATATGATGAATGTTGAGGCTCTGACCTGAGGTCCTCGACGTGCCTTCCACATGACCTCAATTCGCGCCGTGGACCCACGATGACTGTGTGGGAGCCGCGTATGGGGGATGTTGAGGACTTCGCCGAAAAACGCCCCATCGCTCCTTCGGCGTGCGCGCGAAATCCTGGAGGGCGATATGGGCATCGCGCGAGTGCGGGGGTGCCCGAGCTCTCGCCCAACAGGAGCTGCACCGTTGCCTCTCGAATTCGGCGCGACGTCCTCCGGTGTTCTGCGGGAATCTCCTTTGGGGTATGCTGATGCCCGCGTGGCAAGATTCACCCTCCCCTCTGCGACGGCAGCGCGGGGCTGAGCATTCAGAGCTGGTGTGGGAAAGCCGCATTCCGTTGCAGGCGGGACGGAGGGGAGGCAAGGGCAGGAGAGGCGAGGAGGCAGTGAGAAAGGTACCGTTCACTCCCGAGGGGCCGTGGTTGAATCCCGGGGGTCCGGTCACTGTTGCTTGCTTTATTTTTCGTTGAGTTGTAGTTCCATCTCCATGCGTGGAGCGGGCGAGCGGGCGTTTTTTCTCCTACCCTGTCGACGTGGCAAACAGACTGCGCCCCCTGTTGCGGCAACGAGTCAATCGATGGGTCACTCACTCAACGCACGATGCAAAATTCATATATCGAAAAAATCGAAAGGCGAGACGGAAGATTGGCAAATGAATGAATGGATTGATGAATGGATGATTTGACAAAAAAATCAATCCAGCAGCGTACAACCAGTATTGCTAAATCATCTGGCAGACCGTCGCTCTGTCAGCTCAGTCACCAACGAGTCGGTCAACCAATTCTTCATAGATCTCGGCTCACTGCGGAAACTCATCGATTGCCAAGGTCACTTATCCACGCAACCAACATACCATCGCATCAGCATGCTAGCCATCCAACGAATCAGTCGATCAGCCAGTGAACCAACGGTTCAAGCTGTGAGCCAACCGATACATGAGATACGAAGATCGAATGGCCAACCAGCCATTTGAGCAATCAAACAAATCAACTAACCAGTCCGTCAACAGTTGAAGCATTCAAGCAATCAATACATTTGCCGATCAGTGGCAACAGCGATCACGCGTGCAGAGCGCGTGCACAGCAATCAGACTGAGCGCTGGAGGTCGGCACCGGGAGGTTCCAGTACGTGTACATTTTGCTGCTGGGCTCCGCGTACGGGTTCTGCAGCGCCAACACCTACGCGGAGGTCTTCGTGACGATGAACGGAGACAAGTACTTGCCGCCCTGGAGTTGGCACACTGACTGCGGAGCGGACGTCAGTAGTTGCCCCGTCCTGTCTGCCAGTGCCGCTGGGGACTGCCGAAGGGTGCCCCTCTCGGCGGATGTAAGAAGAGCGGATACCGGGAGCCTCGTCGAAGAGGTCGGCTATCGGACCGGAGGCCTTGGATACATGTAGTGCCCCCACTTCCAGAGAGACAATTATCAAGTTGGGACGATGGGTTTGGGAGAAATGTTCATGTCGTCAATGTTACCGCGTATGTTGAAGGTGCTTATTGCACAGTCGTGCCCTGTACTTTCCAACCCGTCCTCCCAACACGAATTGTCTTTCTTACACATGGGCCACAGTAGGCGCATCAAAAAAGAAATCGGCATGCCAGCAGGTGCCCTGCGGAGTAGTTTTCATCCCCCGACTGCCCCAGGGACACCTTAGGAGATCCAGCGATCAACGAAGAACGTTCCCCTGGATCTCTTACAGTTGAGCATCTGATTCACAAACCTTTCCCGAAAAGTTTGGCCAGGGTTTCTTGTCCACCGTGCCGGAAAGCTGACCCAATTTCTCGAGCACGTTCGCTTCTGCAGCGTTAATATCAAGAATGCCCACATATTAGTTTGAACTGAATTCCGGGAAGTTGGCCCAGATTTTCTAAATAATCATGGTTTTGATCATACAGGCTGGTCGTTGAAAGTAGGTGTTCTTGGATTTTCAAACCCCAATCTATTTCAAGCGCCTTCCTACTTCAATCATATCTCTGCTTTTGCTGCGCTTTGTTATTATGTGGGAGGGCTTGAAACTACTCGGCTTTATCCACCTTCCTAGTTCATGCTTTTACCTATTTCTTCCGACCGACGTGTATTTTAAATCTGTTCAGCCAGGCTTCCAATCGTGAGTGCCCACTGTGATCCCCCCCTGGCCATCCGCCCTTGTTGCAGCCGCCGGACCTCGAGCAGTGGGCGCCGGACGCTCATGGCAGGTCGTTGGGAGACCAAGCGATACCGAGACTGCTGCTCCCGGAGAAGGACGGGCATCTTCCTCTCACGGGCAACGATCGGGGGGGATAGGCATAGCGGGGATTGCCCCAATCTATCGGCGATGTATCGCCCATTCCAGGTCGATGTTTCCCGCCCCCCCCTCCCGATGCTTATCCCCCACTATCGTTGACCCTCGTCCCTCTAAAGAAGCATGAGGCGGAGGCGAAAGCGGGTGAGTAGGGGAAGGCGAGGAGGAGGAGGAGGAGGAGGAGGAGGAGGAGAAGGAGAAGAGGGACAGGGAGAGGGAGGAGGTGGAGGAGGAAGGAGGAGGAGGAGGAGGAGGAGGAGGAGAGGAGGAGGAGGAGGAGGAGGAGGAGGCGGAGGGAGGAGGAGGAGGAGGAGGAGGGAGGAGGAGGAGGGAGGAGGGAGGAGGAGGAGGAGGAGGAGGAGGAGCAGCAGCAGGAGGAAGGAGGAGGAGGAGGAGGAGGAGGAGGAGGAGGAGAGGAGGGAGGAGAGGAGAGGAGAGGAGGAGGAAGGAGGAGGAGGAAGAGAGGAGAGGAAGGAGGAGGAGGACAGGGAGGAAGGGGAGAAGGGTGGAGGAGAGGAAAGAGGCGGAGGAGGGAGGGGGAGGAGGATGAGGAGGAGGAGGAGGAGGAGGAGGAGATGAGGGAGATGAGGAGGAGGAGGAGCAGCAGGTAGAGGAGGAGGATCCTCTTCTTCTCCCAGGAGGAAGGGAGGGAGAAGAGTCCTTCCGCAGAGGAGCAGGAGCAGGAATGGCCCTCCTGCTCCCTCCCCCCCCCCTCCTCTGGATGATGGGCACCTCAGCGGGTGAACGCCTGGTCGCGCTCCCAGGCGCGCGGGCGGAGCAGTTCCGCTCCTCTTCTTCCTCCTCCTCCTCCTCCTCCTCCTCCTCCTTCTCCTCCTCATCATCATCATCCTCCTCCCTTTCTCCTGCTCTTCCTGCCTTCCTCCTCCTCCTCCTCCTCCTCTTTTTTCTCCCGGGGCGATCCAACTGGGTACGGAAAGGGGTACGAAGGCCGACAGAATTTCCTGTTGATTTTGAACAGGTCTCCCTTTCGGCGTCGCCGCGCACTTTGTCCATTCGAGACAGGACGCCGCCATCTCAACAGCGGCCGCTGTCGGTTTGGGCATCGTACCCATGCTTCGCATAATTACCCATTTCGGGCGTCCAAATCCTCTACCTCCTCGTCCTCCTGGGAGAACCAACAGATCGACACCGCTACTCCCGGGACCTCTCCTTGCGACGGGGGCCCTCCAGGAGGCCCCCGTAGGGCGAACACGAGGGGAGGACAGCGGCATCGGGTGTCATTTCCCCTCCTCCGAGGTCGATCGTCGCGGACTTCAAGCTGATCTGCTCCAACGGGTGGAAGCTGCCGCTGCTCGGGTCGATCTACTTCGCCGGCTTCGGCGCGGGCCTGCTCGTGTGTGGGCAGATCTCGGACACGCTGGGGCGCAAGAGGGGCTACCTTTTCTCGGCCGGCTGCATGGCGGCGGGAGGGATCCTCGCGGCCGCGTCGTGGAGCTGGGCCTCGTACGCGGTTGCCAGGGCCATTTCGAAGAACAAACGACGGCATAAGCACAAAAGTTTCGGAGCTCCGCGTGGACGTTTTAGATCAACGCTACTTCCCCATGGCGGCCTCCGGCGCCGCCCCTGGCGCGCACCACTCGCCAGGAGGGGGCGTCCAGCGCAGACCCAAGAAATCCGCACGGAGCTCCGAAAGGTTATGGTTGTGCCGTTTGTTTCTTCATCTGCGATCGTTGGTTTCGGGGTCGCGGGGGCTGGGAACACTTCGTTCGTGTGGCTGACCGAGTACCTGAACCCCGAGCTGCGCCCGGTGATGGCGTGGTTCCCCAACGTGGCCTTCTGCGTGGCCCAGGCGGGGAGATGGAGGTCGGGGCTAACGGGGTGGGATAGCCTCAGGGGTATCTTCCTCCTC